CACCCTTAAAGTTGTTATTTCTACTGCTCAACCTTACTTAGTATCAAAAATAAACCATTATTTTTCGTAAGGCCTTCGGCCTTGCACATGTATACAAATAGCATGTTTATCGAGGTTCGCGAGATAGGCACCGCATTTCAAAGATAAAAACGCAAAATAAACTAGTCGTACTACGTCACACACATCATGATCACTCGAGCGTTTAATAATCATAGTTTACCGAGCGCTGGATAGGTACACACGTGTAGTCTTAGGCAGAATTTTATTCAGCTTTTTTCATCTTTTATCGGTAAGTTTCTTGGTCGAGACAGTTTTTATTTTGTACAGCTCTTTGCCGGCACGTATTGTTGGTATTAGTTTTTATCATTGGTCCTTTTTATTAAGGAATAATGAGCTGCAACGAGGAAAACGAGGACGAAGCCCTTAGTCTATGCGCCGAATCATCTGACTCTGGGGAAGAGTTGAAGGCTTCGAAGAAGCTGATTTGACTACTGAAATTGTTGCAACGCCTGCTGTTGGCGCAGAAATTGAGGTGCAAGATTCTCCAGTTAAACGGAAGAAAAATTCTAGGGCTCGTGTCCCAAAGAAATTAAAATCAGTTGTGACTAAAAAGTCTACTGCCAAGTCTAAGACTAAGTCTCAGAAAAGTAAGAAAAAAGAAGAGTGACATTAATTTGGAAGATTTATCTCCTCATGATATTGGTATTTTGAAAACAAAATTAGGTTTGGACAATAAGGAAAACTCGCAGAGTTTTCGAAATAGACCAAAGTTACGGGTAGAGGTGAACCCTGATGATATTTCTTTAGCTGATTCAGATGACTGTTTTACTGGGAATTTTCCCAATGAAGAAGATAGAAGAGACCTTGAAAAGGCTTTGTTTGGTGATGATGATGAAAATTCAGAGAATGATGATGAGTGGGATTTACCCCAGATCTTGGTTTCCGAGAAAGGTCCAAGTATTGACAAGAATTTGGCAAAACTAGTTAATTCCTCTTGCACTACTCAGTCAAGTGTCTCAGATATTTTGCACAAGTATAACGTGCCAGAAAATTGTGATTTCTTGGCTCCACCATCTGTAAACCTTGATGTTTGGAAAGCTTTAGGCAAGAAGGGTCAGAGTCAGGATCGTTGTTTGGTGGATATCCAGAATATAGTTGCGGCTGAGATGGTTGCAGTTGTTAAATTGGCTTCTGTGCTCAAGCATCATATTAAAAGAAATGTTGAAGCAAAAAGTATTTTAACCGATTTGATTTCTTTAACTGGTCAAGTTCAGTTTAATCTGTCTTTAAGACGTAGATACCAATGTAGGCCTTTTCTGAATAAGAAATATACCAATCTTTGTAATATTAATGTACCCATTACCACAAAATTATTTGGTGATGACCTTGCGAAAGAGGTTAAAAATTGTGATGTTGGTTTCTCTTTAGCAATAGAAAAATATGGTACATCTTATTATGGTCCCCAGAGATCCTTTCGGGGTCGAGGTGTCAATTACAGGGGAAGAAGGCCAAACAGGTTCCAGCCTTATGGTCAGCAATATGGCAGGCAACAGTATAGCCAGCAGCATTGGGGCAGCAAAACCCTCTTTTGAGACGGGGAAGAGCTAGGGCTTCAGCAACAGTTTCAAGTGCCCCAAACTAAACAGACTGGACACCTCTCATGTAAGTAAGCTTAAACTTTGTTTGGATGTTTTGAAACAGTTTACTCATGATGCGTGGATACTTCAAACAGTATCTGGTTATTGTATTGAATTTGAGTCAGTCCCTTCCAGAATGTTGTTCCTAAACAAATTCATTTTAATGAGGAAGAACATAATGTTGTTGATTTGGAAGTGCAGGACCTTTTGAGGAAAGGTGCCATTGAAAGGTCTGTACCAGAACCTGGACAATATATTTCTACCATATTTACGGTATCCAAACCTGGTGGGAAGTTTAGACCCATTATTAATTTGAAACATTTGAATAAATTTATCATTTACGAACATTTTAAACAAGAACATTTTAATTTGGTGTTAAATTTGGTTCAAAAGTTTGATTATTTTTGTAAAATTGATTTAACTGACGCATATTTTGCTATTCCTGTCCACAAAGATTTTCGTAAGTTTTTGAAGTTTATGTGGAACGGAAATCTGTACGAATTTGTTTGCTTGTGTTTTGGTTTGTCATCAGCTCCTAGAGTTTTTACCAAGATTTGAAAGCCAATTTATGCTTGGTTTAGGTATCAGGGTATAAGATGTTCATATTACATAGATGACTCTTTAAGCATGAACAGAGATAAAGAAATTTGTAGGAATGATACAGTTTTAATGTGTGACACTTTATCTTCTTTGGGATATACAGTGAATAAAAAGAAATCTGTTCTTGTTCCCACACAGAGGTTGATATTTTTTGGATTTGTTTTGGACTCCGTTTTATTTATGGTTTTCTTGACAGATGAGAAAGTTCAAAAAATAGTTTCTTCGGCTTCTAATCTTCTACAGAAGGAGGTTGTTGTTGTCCGAGATCTGGCCTCTTTTATAGGGTTAGTGATCAATGCATTTTATGCAGTTCTCGAAGCCCCACTGCATTATAGAAGCTTAGAAAGAAATAAATTGTTAGGTCTTGGTTCTAACATGAATTTTGATAATAAGGTTGTCCTCAGTGAGGATAGTCTAGAGGAGTTGTTGTGGTGGAAAAATAATGTTACCATCAAAAATGGGAAACATATAAGGCCTGGACCAGTTGAATACTGGTGTTATTGTGATGCTTCGTTTGTTGGGTGGGGCTCGTATGATGAAGAACTTAATAAATCTGCTAATGGAAGATGGGATTCTCCTTTGTTTGATAAATCTATAAATTATCTGGAATTATTAGCTATTTTCAATGCAGTCCGAGCTTTGTATAATGAGGTGCGGAATACCCATATAGAGATAAAGTCAGACAATGTTTCGGCTATAGCTTATGTAAATGACCTAGGTGGAATGACTTCCTTATCAATGGATTTGTTGGCCAAAGACCTTTGGGAATGGTGCTTGTCTAGGGATATTTTTCTTTCTGCATCCTATATTCCTGGTGTAGATAATGTGTATGCTGATTATTTTTCAAGGAATTTCTCGGAGAGTACTGAATGGTCTTTGAAACCAGACATTTTTGAAAGAATTTGTGGAACTTTATTCAAACCTGATATAGACCTTTTTGCCTCTGAATGGAATAAGAAGTTAGATAGATATGTCTCATGGTTTTCAGGAAGCACTGAAAGTGCTTATGATTCTTTTACAATGTCATGGTCTGGTTTTACTCCATATTTATTTCCTCCATTTAATTTGGTTGGGAAAGTAATGAACAAAGTTTTATCAGACAAGGTAAATAAGACCATTCTTGTGTTTCCTTTTTGGAAATCAGCTACTTGGTTTCCATTGGTATTATATAATATAATTTCTTTTCCAATCAGGCTACCTCGCCACCGAGACTTGTTATCTCAGGAACACAACGGGAAAGCTCATCCTCTACAGAATTCTTTAACAATGGTCGCTGTCGTTATATCTGGGAAGCATTACAAAGTCAGGGAGTTTCAAGATCAACTGCATGTGTCATTACTGAAGCATGGAAGAAAAGAACCATCAAACAGTATGAATTCGCTTGGCGTAGCTGGTATTTTTGGTGTTATAAACAAAATAAAAGTCCCTTTTCAGTGTCTGAAGGTACTGTAGTGAATTATTTGTGTCATTTATTGTGTCTAGGTAAATCATATTCAGTGTTGAATACACACAAATCTATGCTTCTACAAACTTTACCTTTTTTCAATAATAGTTGGTGTGATAAGTCTTTCCTTATTAGTAAATTTATGAAGGGTGTTTTTCACCGAACCCCACCTAAACCTAGGTATTCTTTCACATGGGATGTTTCAGTGGTATTAAATTTCTTAAAACCTTTGTTTCCTTTGTCTAGCCTTAGTTTGAAGCTTTTAACATTTAAACTTATAGCCTTGATTGCGCTTTGTACTGCTCCAAGAGCACAAACTTTAGTTGCGCTGAACATTGATTTTATGGTGTTTCATGACAATAAAGTTGTTTTCCATATTTCGTCCTTGTTGAAGACAAGCAGGGTAGGAAATAGTGCTTTCTCTTTAGTTTTGGAGAAGTATGATCCTGATGAGAAACTGTGTGTTGTGAAAACTTTGTTACATTATTTGAAAAGAACAGAGAGTTTACGGGAAAGTAAACAACTTTTAGTTTCTTTTGTGACTTACAAAGGTGTTACTTCTAGCACTGTGGCTAGATGGTTGAGAGAAGTTTTATCCCTCTCGGGTATTGATACAGATGTGTTTAAGGCACATTCTTTTAGGTCTGCAGCAGTTTCAGCAGCCTATACTAAGTGGTGTTCAGTCAGTAATATTCTTAAAACAGCTATGTGGAATACAGAGAAGAATTTCTATAAGTTTTATTTCAGAAATTCTTTTCCTGATAATGCCGGGGTTGGTTTCCCCAGGGCAGTGTTATCTAATGTTTAGTTATTACTTTTTGTGTGGGAATATATATTGGTTTGTTTATATCAGGCTTTGTTTTGTTTCATGCCTTTAAAAATGCTATTTGTATACATGTGCAAGGCCGAAGGCCTTACGAAAAATAATGTTCCCTCATCCAAGCTTTACTGATGGATGAGTGCCATTATTGTAGTAAGGCCGGAGGCCTAAGCATGTATACATTACCCACCTCATTGTTTTTTCTTATTTCTTTCCCTCCTCTTGTAAAGGGTTTTATGCTGAAACAAAACTTCTTTAAATTATGATTATTAAACGCTCAAGTGATCATGATGTGTGTGACGTAGTACGACTAGTTTATTTTGCGTTTTTATCTTTGAAATGCGGTGCCTATCTCGCGATATGCTATTTGTATACATGCTTAGGCCTCCGGCCTTACTACAATAATGGCCCTCATCCATCACTAAAGCTTGGATGAGGGAGCATTTTCTCACTACAAAAGAATAAATGTATATATAAAATAATGACAATAAAGTCTTACTTTGAGACCTTTTTGACCTTTGAGTGTTTTTCCACATTCTTCACAAGTCAACATGGGCTGAACATCAGTATGCATTAGTTCCTTTATAAAACAAGATGTGTTTGTAAAACATGTATGCCCCCTATTGGCAGCCAATTTGTCATGTGATCAGGTTATTATGCATGACTTCTGACCCAGTGAACAAGCAATTAATAAGGGTTATCTAGTATCTACTGGTCATGACTAGTCACAAGGTAATAATTATTGTGACCCCATAGGTTGTGTGCAGCAATTAAAGTTATTAAAAATCTTACCAAATAATATATACATAAATTTTATGAATCACATAGGCCTCATTAATGACAGCCAAATTGTTATATTACATAAGACCTTCAAATGTGTATACCAAAAGCACATAAAATATCAACCAAGGCAACTTGAGTTTTTGTTGAGTTATTGGTCTGAAACGGTCATTATGACATTGACCCCTTGACCCCAAAATCAATAGGGGTCATCTCCTGGTCAAGACCAATCATCATACCAAGTTTGAAGTTCCTAGGCCTAAGGGCTCTTTAGTTATTGATCAGAAACCGTTTTTACCTACAAGGTCAATGTGACCTTGACCTTTGACCCCAAAATCAATAGGGGTCATCTGCTGGTCATGACCAATCATGATACCAAGTTTGAAGTTCCTAGGCCTAAGCGTTATTTATTTATTGATCGGAAACTGTTTTCACCTACAAGGTCAATGTGACCTTGACCTTTGACCCCTTGACCCCAAAATCAATAGGGGTCATCTGATGGTCATGACCAATCATCATACCAAGTTTGAAGTACCTAGGCCTAAGCGTTCTCTAGTAATTGCTTAGAAACGGTTTTTACCTAAAAGGTCAATGTGACCTTGACCTTTGACCCCTTGACCCCAAAATCAATAGGGGTCATCTGCTGGTCATGACCAATCACCATACCAAGTTTGAAGTTCCTAGGCCTAAGGGTTCTTTAGTTATTGATCGGAAACCGTTTTTACCTACAAGGTCAATGTGACCTTGACCTTTGACCCCTTGACCCCAAAATCAATAGGGGTCATCTGCTGGTCATGAACAATCACCATATCAAGTTTGAAGTTCCTAGGCCTATGCGTTCTTTAGTTATTGATCGGAAACCGTTTTAACATACAAGGTCAATGTGACCTTGACCTTTGACCCCTTGACCCCAAAATCAATAGGGGTCATCTACTGGTCATGACCAATCACCATACCAAGTTTGAAGTTCCTAGGCCTAAGGGTTCTTTAGTTATTGATCGGAAACCGTTTTTACCTACAAGGTCAATGTGACCTTGACCTTTGACCCCTTGACCCCAAAATCAATAGGAGTCATCTGCTGGTCATGAACAATCACCATATCAAGTTTGAAGTTCCTAGGCCTATGCGTTCTTTAGTTATTGATCGGAAACCGTTTTAACATACAAGGTCAATGTGACCTTGACCTTTGACCCCTTGACCCCAAAATCAATAGGGGTCATCTACTGGTCATGACCAATCCCCATACCAAGTTTGAAGTTCCTAGGCCTAAGGGTTCTTTAGTTATCACTCGGAAACCATTTGGTCTATGGACCGAAGGATCGACAAGTGCAAAGCAATATACCCCCTCTTCTTCGAAGTGGGGGCATAATAAACAAACATTTACAGTCCACAATCTAATTTCTTAAAGTGTCATGCCTTTGCACTTTTATTAATATACATGAAAACTTGGAGAGTGTTCTGAACAGTAAAACAATTAACCAAATGTAAAATAAGCCAATATAATTAACTTAAAGAGAGGCCACTGAGATTTTTTGACATGACGAAACTGGAAATAATTATGTTGAGATTGATGTTCCACTTGATATTGATCTATATAAGTAATATGTGTGCAAAATTCTAGATCAATCCCTCACTCTCTTTTCCCAAGATAATTATTCAAAGTTTTAACAATAGGGCCATGAAGGCCCTGAGGTCGCTCACCTGTACATAGGCCTCCGGAGCGGGGCCAGTTTAAACCCCAGGGCTTTTATTTGAACAAACTTGGAAGACACCCATTAGAAGATGTTTCATATGTTAAGTTTTTACTACACACATATAATGAAAAACAATGACCTCTGCACCCCCCACCTCCCCCCCCCCCCTGCAGGGCCAATTTTAACCCAAGGGCTTTTATTTGAACAAACTTGGTAGACATCCACAATAAGATGTTTCATCTCTAGCTCTTTGAGTTTTTCAAAAGAAGATTTTTTTGTTTTTACTATACACATATAATTAAAAACAATGACACATCTGGGGCGGTGCCAGTTTTGACCCCAGGGCTTTTATTTGAACAAACTTTGTAGACACTTACTAGAAGATGTTTCATGCTTAATATCAATTCTAAACTCTAGCTATTTGGGTTTTTTCAAAGAAGATTTTTTAAGTTTTTGCTATACACATATAAGGAAAATCAATGACACCCAGGGCGGGGGCATATTTTGACCCCAGGGCTTTTATTTGAACTTACTTTGTAGACACTCACTAGAAGATGTTTCATGCTTAATATCTAAACTCTAGCTATTTGGGTTTTTTCAAAGAAGATTTTTAAGTTTTTGCTATACACATATAAGGAAAATCTGAGAACCCAGGGCGGGGCCAATTTTAAGCCCAGGGCCCGTATTTGAACAAAAATGGTAGACACCAATTAGAACATGTTTCATGCTAAATATCTTAGCTCTAGCTCTTTGAGTTCTTTAAAAGAAGATTTTTAAGTTTTTACTATACATGTATGCATATAGGGAAAATCAATGACCCCCTGGGGCGGGGCCAATTTTGACCCCAGGGCTTTTATTTGAACAAACTTGGTAGACACTCATTAGAAGATGTTTCATGCTAAATATCTTAGCTCTAGCTCTTTGGGTTCTTTAAAAGAAGATTTTTTAAGTTTTTACGATATGCATATAGGGAAAATCAATGACCCCCTGGGGCTGGGCCAATTTTGACTCCAGGGCTTTTATTTGAACAAACTTGGTAGACACTCACTAGAAGATGTTTCCTGCCAAATACTTTAGCTCTAGCTCTTTGGGTTTTTTAAAAGAAGATATTTAAAGTTTTTTCTTTCGGTTGCCATGGTAATCAGAGTTCTGCATGGAATTAAATTCTTTGAACAATTTTTAAAGGAGACCACAAAAGGAACATTCCTGTGAAGTTTGAATGAAATTGGCTTAGTGGTTTATGAGGAGATGTCGTTTAAAGTAAAAGTTTGTGGACGGACGGACGACGGACGAAAAACGATCACAAAAGCTCACCCTGTCACTTTGTGACAGGTGAGCTAAAAATACTTCAAGAATGGCTCAAAAATACAATTTTATATATTTTCATTTTTGACTTTTGAACCTCAGTGGAGTCCTTTAATATCATCATATAATTATTACTGACAGTGTGTAAAATAATGCATAAGAAAAAGTGCCACAAAGATTGTGAATCTTTACATACATGTATCTCTCTTATCTCATGAACTATTTAAATTAATAAACCATCCTTACTCTGGCATACAGTTTTCATTTCTTTTATTCCATTACTACTGTTATAATATAATTAGTTATGAAATGAAAACTGTATGCCAGAGTAAATAAGGTTTAACAAGAGCCCTGTTTGAGCCGGGTGATGCTCCCCGAATAGGTTTTGGACACAGGAAAGTACACCTCTGGTAGTTTCAGAGTTATGTCCTTGGAAAAAGTTCAAAGTGCAATAATTCCAAAATTAGTCAAGGCAGAGTTATTGTTCTTTGCACTGCACTTCTTCTAATCAATGCAATCTATCAACCTACAAATTTTCTTGTTGATATCTCTTATGGTTTCCGAGTTATGTCCCGGACAAAGTTCAAAATGTAAAAATGAACAAAGGGCAATAACTATAAAATTTGGCAAGGCGGAGTTCAAGTTCTTGTGCACTGCAAATCTACCTATTGAGATCCATCTAACTACAAAGTTTCATGTTGATATCTCTTGTAGTTTTAAATAATAAAACGAGTTATTTCCAGGACAAGATTTTTTTTAAAAAGGGGAGATCATTCAAAAAATGGGCAAAACAGAGTTATGTTTATTTTGGACTGCACTTTTACTCAATGAGATCTATATCCCAACAAAGTTTCATGTTGAAATATCTTATAATTTTAGAGTAATTTCCCAGACAATGTTCAACAAGAGGGCCATGATGACCCTGAGGTCCCTCACCTATATATAGGCCCCCGGAGCAGGGCCAGTTATAACCCCAGGGCTTTTATTTGGACAAACTTGGGAGACACCCATTAAAAGAAGTTTCATGATGTTAAGTTTTGACTACACACATATAATGAAAAACAATGACCCCCCCCCCCCCACGTGCATGGCCAATTTTAAATCAAGGGCTTTTATTTGAACAAACTTGGTAGACAACCATAAGAAGATGTTTCCTGCTAAACATTTAAGCTCTAGCTCATTGGGTTTTTTAAAAGAAGATTTTTTTAAGTTTTTACTATACACATATAGTTAAAAACAATGACACTCACATATAAGGAAAAGCAATGACCCCCTGGACGGAGCCAATTTTGACCCAAGGGCTTTTAATAGAACAAAATTTGTAGACACTCACTAGAAGATGTTTCATGCTTAATATCTAAACTCTAGCTATTTGGGTCTTTTCAAAGAAGATTTTTAAGTTTTTGCTATACACATATAAGGAAAATCAATGACCCCCTGGGGCGGGGCCAATTTTGACCCAAGGGCTTTTATTTGAACAAACTTGGTAGACACTCATTAGAACATGTTTCATGCTAAATATCTTAGCTCTAGCTCTTTGAGTTCTTTGAAAGAAGATTTTTAAGTTTTTGCTACATGTATATGCATATAGGGAAAATCAATGACCCCCTGGGGCAGGGCAAATTTTGACCCCAGGAGTTTTATTTGAACAAACTTGGTAGACACTCATTAGAAGATGTTTCATGCTAAATATCTTAGCTCTAGCTCTTTGGGTTCTTTAAAAGAAGATTTTTAAGTTTTTACTATAGGCATATAGGGAAAATCAATGACCCCGTGGGGCGGGGCCAATTTTGACCCCAGGGCTTTTATTTGAACAAACTTTGTAGACACTCACTAGAAGATATTTCATGCCAAATATCTAAGCTCTAGCTCTTTGGGTTTTTTAAAAGAAGATATTTAAAGTTTTTTCTTTCGGTTGCCATGGCAACCAGAGTTCTAAATGGAATTAAATTCTTTGAACAATTTTTAAAGGTGACCACCAAAGGAAAATTCCTGTGAAGTTTGGATGAAATTGGCTTAGTGGTTTATTAGGAGATGTCATTTAAAGTAAAAGTTTACGGACGGACGCCGGCCAGACGCCGGACGAAAAGTGATCACAAAAGCTCACCCTGTCACTTTGTGACAGGTGAGCTAAAAAGTGAAAATAAACAAAGGGCAATAACTCGAGAATTAGACAAGGGAGATGTTATGATTCTTGTGCACTGCACATCTACCCATTGAGATATATCTACTTACAAAGTTCCATGTTGATATCTCTTATAGTTTTATAGCTATGACCTAGACAAGGCTTTTTCTAAAAGGGGAGATAATTTAAAAATGAGGCTTAACAGTGTTATGGTTCTTTTGCACTGCACTTCTACTCAATGAGATCTATCTACCTACAATGTTTCATCTTGATATCTCTTAGAGCATAATAAAATAGAATATATAAAGATTCACATCAAATGACACTGTCTCAAAATCAATAGAAGTCAAATACTGATCATGGGCAATGTTAACAAGTTTACAAACCTGCACTGATATTTTCTCAATTTATTGATAGGACAAAGATTGTACACTAAGTTTCACTTAGACCTTCACATATGACCTCAGATCAATAAGGGTCACCTACTAGCCATCGAGATTGTTCCTACAAATTTTCACACACTCAAATAACCTTAAAATGAATAGGGCTGATCAATGTATATACAAAGTTCCAGAGGCTTATGCTTAATTCTTCCAAAGTTATTGATTGGAAGAAGATTTTATACATTGTCAATGTGTCCTCTGAACTAATGAATTATGAGGTCTTTTACATACTGGCCTTGAGGGATGTCCCTATCAGGTTACATGAACCATGACAAGTATAACAGGCCTACATATGTACAGATGAATGCATCACTCTATCATAGTATGCTCCCTGCTTTTTTTACTTTTGAGTTAACATGCACATAAAGTTTTAAGCAATAAAAGAATCCAATTTCGGATTTATCAGCTATGATACATGTACATGTAATTACTATGTCTATCATTTTTCATACCTTGTGTTTTTTCAATGTTTTCTCATTCTTGTAAGTGTTTCCACACATATCACAGATTGGTTCTTGCCCTTTGTTACATGAAACTAACTTGTGGTGATGTAACTTCCATGGATTCATTGACCAATAATTACAATACTGAAATTATATCAGCATTACTTCAATATGAATCAATGTTATATAAATTCAAGCTATCTTACACATACGTACTAGAGTGATTAAATAAAATCAAAAGTAATACAGTTGGGAGAAAAATTATTGTAATACAAAAGTAATCTTTTTTTCCAGTTTAGATCATCTTAACCCTTTACCACATATATACGCGAAACAACGCACTTTCGACCCCCCCCCCCCCCCCCTTTTTTTAGGTCTCAAATAGTGAAAAAATGTCCTATTTGGGCCACAAACATAAGTTTTCGTTTGAGAAATGTTGCTAAGAAAATTTTGGACTTGTGAGAGGCTAAAAATGACCCCAGGTCGATCATAATGTAACGTTTAACCAAAGCTGAAAAGCCTTTGACTCTATCTCAATCCCTAGAGAAGTTGCAGCACTTTGAAATAAATTTTGATGGAAAAAATCGAGGCAAAATAGTGATTTTTGGCAATTTTGAGATGTCCCCTCGTTGCCATGGTAACAGGAAATTTAAGACTGAGCATGTCGTTACAAAGGCAATGGTCCAGTCAACATTTGTGCCAAGTTTGATTAGTATTGAAGCATTTTTCATAGTTTCATAGCAGTTTGAACTTGTAACAGAAAGTTTTTTAGTGAAAACGGCCATTTTTCACAATATGCTCATGGGGGAAAGGGTTAAGAATATTATCCAAACATAAATGTACATGATGAAATAACAATTTCTGTAGTATAATTAAAGCAGCATGCCTCCAGATTCATGCTTATTTTCATGAAAAAATTTTAAAATGTATTTAAAAGTATGATATTGTGTGGTAACCAAAAGGAAGCAATTTACATATTATCAATGGCACTTGCAACCTACGTAAATTACCAAAAAGAGGTGAAAATATTCAAAAATAGCCATTAAAGCGATACTCGGGCAAATATATGACAAAATATTGAATTTATCATATTTACTAATTTATGCTAAAATGAAGTTTTTAAAAGTGATTAAAAGTCCCAGCATGTTTATTTTTTCTGTATAAATACTTTATAATGTGAGTTTAAAACGTAAATAAGTCTACATAAGTTGAACGAAATGACGACTTAGACAGACCTAACGAGTAGTTTTAAAACAAGTCATTTGACAATTACAATCCCTAGAAGTTAAAAAAACAAATATTGTGGATATTGTAAGATTAAAACAAGCCTAAGTCGCTCATTTGACAGGTTCGTTTACGTTTTTATAGTTCACGGTGATAACTTTGGTGAAATCTAAATGCTCTAACCTGACCCGCGTGGGTCAGGTAAAGGAAAGCAACATTTTTTTCTTTATAAGGAGAAAAAATTTGTTCCCTAGACTGCTTGGTCTATTCATTTCGATGACATAAATAGAATATTGGATAGAAAATTAAAATCTAAAATATGAAAATTTTGCCTATGTCTCCCTTTAAAACTGAAGTAGTGTAAATATTGTTAAAATTACTGAAAAATCAGTCATTACTCTCTCATTACATGTAAATTATTACTTGAACTTGAACCTCTTTACTTTTCCTAAAATTTTAGTACATTTTTCATAAGTTTGATGTTATTGAAATATTTTTGCTCATCTAGAGACATGCTTTACAGTGATAATATGACCATCACAGTCAAAATAGTGAATGTGCAGGTAAATTAGCAAGTAAATTGTACAGGTAAATGCTAGGTACCTTATCATTTTGTCATGCTTCTACAATTTCAAGTTCAATTCATAAAAAGACTGGGACAGTCTTGTTAGGCAGGTTTTATATTTTATCCTTTATTATATTAATCAACTAGACAGTGAAAAAATAAGATTATTGTCACTTTTTATTCTCAAGTCATCATTGATATGTGTATGACTTAAAAAGAAAGCCAATAGAAAACTTTGTTTTATAAGAACAATAGAAAATAATATTACCTCACAATACAGATCTGGCCATTTTTCTTTGTCATATTGTATTTCATGAGCTAAAAATTCATGTTCAATTTGATCTGCTAATCGTCGGAACTTCCTCGAACAGGCACAACAACAATATTTTCTTCTCATCTCAAACCTCTTCTGCTTCCTTTTAGCCAACTTTTCTTGCCGCAGCTTTATACATCTGACATCACTGTTCCGATGCTCCATGTAATCCTCAGTTGACTCAAAGTTAACATGACAGGTAACACACTTTCGCCTCTGCCGATTATTTTTACCAGTACATTTATTTCTATGCCCTGTCAGTTCATACTGAAAAAAGAAACTCTTCCCACATTTTTCACACTCTCCTCCATTTCCTGATCCTATCTCAAGTTCTAGTTTTTCTTTACTTTCTTCTGACATTGAATTTCTATCCTCTGATTGGACTTTATTTCCAACATCACCTGATTCAATAACCTCTGAATAATTTTCATCTACCTTATTTTCACTCTCAGCTAGTACTTCTGTACTGTATTTCAGAGTTTTTTCTTCATTATTCACATTACTCATCTTTTCCTGTTTTTCAGACTTCTTCAATCTTTTATTTTCTTTATTTTTTATGCCTTTCTTTGTCATTTTGCATTTTTTATTTCTATTTTTGTTAGTTTTCTCAACAAAATAAGAGTCAGTGTCATCCCCTGAGTCCACATGGTCTGCATTCCATTCACTATCATCATTAACATCAGTGTCAATGTCTGAACAATAGATTTCTTCAGGTTTTCCATTTTCTTCTAATGAATTACTTTTCGTCACTATTTCAATAACACTTTCTTCCTTGTCCACTTCACAACCTTTTCCAGGTTTTTCTACATTCATAATGATATTGTTCTTTTTTCCTGTGTCACTTTCACTTAAATCTAAACATTGTTTTGGTAATTTTATTTTCACTTTAACATTTTTTGGAGATTTAAGCTTTCTTTTTCTCGACTTTTTATTCAAAGAATGTTCTTCATCTTTTATTTCAATATTTACTGAGTCAGAAATACTAGCATCTTTATTATCTTTCAATTTTTTCTTTGCATCATGTTGTAAGGGTTCTGGTAATACAACTGAATCAACAGAGTGAAGTTTATTGCAAAGTTCATTCAAACCAAGAGCGTTGCAATGTTTGCTCAAAGATTTCACCTCACTTTCTGCAACCTCAAGAGACCCTGTATACAAGAATGTTACAATTTTTTGTAGAGCCAACTTTGGAACATCTTTAAAATCCAGTTCTGTCAAATCACTAACATGAGAGTTCTTTTTGGCCCTTTGCTTTAATTGTTTGTGGAGTAAAGGACTGGCAGCAATTAAAATAAGGGAATGTGCTAAGATATTCCCATCACTTCCACAAAATTTAACATCACAATATTTTCCATCTTTCTGCAATCTATGAAGATTATCCAATATGTTTACAAAATAAGAATCAATTTTTATTAATTTGGATGTCTCACTTGGAACTTTTTTTTGTTTTACTTTTCTAGATTGTTTTGATTGACCATTTATTTTTTTAGAAACTGTACTTCCAAACAAGGGTTTTACATCCCATAATGCATTTTCATTATAGTTTATTGTACAGCTTCTTTTTCTTTTAGGTCTTTTAATTGCAGTAAACTCTTGATCTTTGTTTTTATGTTTGACTGATACATTGTTAACATTGTTATGTAAAGATACATGGGGGAATGCTTCATTGTCACAAGGAATTTTCATCTCAGTTACAGAAGCAGCAATGTTACTACCTTCCTCTAACAACAAGTTTTGGGCTTCAATATTTCCAGGAAGTTTATCTGGTGTTATCCTATTTGACATGTTTTCATCTTCAGTTTCAAGAGACAGATTAATATCATCTGAATTAATGTATTTACTTGTTTTCATTTCAATGCCTTGAGTTGCCAGAATAGAGGGGTATGTATCATGCTTTCTTAATTGTATATCATCTTCTAAAAAATTATCAGAGCTTTCTATCACGTTAGGTTCTAATGATGTATCATTTAAGCATACTTCTTTCTGGATTCCTGCTATAACATCAAGGTTGTTTTCAGCTACAACAAAATTTGGTAAATTTTTCTGTAAATCTGAAGCAAAAGTATTTTTATCACCAGTTGTTTTAACATCCACTACTTCACTTTCTTGCACAAATATGTGACTCCCTGCATCTCCTATTTTCTCCATTAGGGTGCTGTAAAGAAGAGAAATATCAATAAAGTCTGGAGTTCCTTCCCTTAAAGCTTATACAAGGCTTTATTTATTTATTTTTGTACTCAAAAGTGACATAGCACTAATTCATGTCTTTTTTTTTCTATAAAATAATATCTAGAAATGACTTAAGACAATTATTAATGAATCTTTGATCAATATTTCAATTAAAACAAGTGGATAATGATGGCCGTATATCGCTTACATGAAATCTTCTTCTAAAAAAGTAGTTATAAATGTAAATGATGCTAAATTTGCTTGTTAATAGCTGAAAATAAAACAGAATTTACATTTGTGAATGTGTATGAGATTTATCCTTATTTTTTTTTTTCTTGAACAAAAAAAATTAAGAAGCAAGAGGGCCATGGTGTTAAATTATTTCTCTTCCTGAATTCTGGTCATTATGATAATAAAATAAATACCATGTCATCCTTATCAAATGCTTTGGAGAAGTCAATTACTATTATACATGTATATTAACTACTTGTCAACTTTCAGTACTTTTTATCATTTTTACAAAAATGTGGCATCTTTTTCAATCATAACACCTGTTAAAATTCATTATAAAAATTCTATTTACATTGTATCGTTACATTTAAATTAAGTAAGGGTCTGCCCACTGGTAATCTAAGGGTTATTGGTATAATTTCTCTTGGACATAAAGTATAATGGTAATTTATCTCTCAACACTGATTCAGAAATTATGTGGGTCAATTGCAGAGAAATTGGTAATTTCTGGTTAAGTTATAATTCAGGAAAGCCAGTTAGGTCAATATTCTAAAATGATATGACTAAATATGTTTTAAAATCAGCATAAATAAAGACGTAAAGACAATATAAAACAATAAAATAAAGATTGCAGTTTCCTAAAATGTAAACAGCCAAGCAATGCGAGGAATGTAACTGGCTCTACATTTGCCCTACTGTTTTTCAGACCCACACTATACACTCCTGGCTCCATAAACACACAATGCCCAGAATTCTCCCTGTTTCATCGGACAAAACCCTATTTTCAGTATGAATAGAATGCTTATTAGAGTAGCATAATACATTTTAATATGAAATAGGTGCTACCTATGGCGCGGAAAGCTCTTATGAATTATGATTTTAGCATAACATGTTAAGTGTACATGTAAACCAGATTTTTCTTGCAGGTATTTCGTAAACAAAACGAATAAATTTGTGGTGTTCAACCTATCATCGGAGCGCTCGGAATATTCCGAAAATCTCCAAGATAAAGGGCGACCACTGCGCATGCGTCGGTGTTTGGAAAAATCCCCAATCTCCTACGCAGTGATCTCCCCTTATCAGTACAATTCTGCCAAGGGAGGTAATCACTGTGAGGAGTTTGGAAAATCCCGTCCGCCATTTTTGTTAATCTCTAATCCCAGCTGTTGTTTTCACGTTATTTGTTAATGCTTATTTATCAAAAAGGATATGTTTGAGTAACTTTTTATATTTATAATCGTTACAATAGTTCTTATCAATGAAATGCATGTTTATTTTCTGATTTTGTACATTATTCTTTCACCGGAAGTTTATTTAGCATGCGTCTGCTAGCAATAGTCTGAATTAAGTAGACGCTCATTAAAAGCGCTCTGATATCTATATTTAGCTCAAAAGGATTTCAAAATGGCGGCGCCCAGTTAACTAAGGATTTTTTCACAGCTCATTAGGTATATGATATATATTTTTTTGAAATTTTCATTTACTTTTAATTTGATTTCATTTGAACTGATATGCGTCATACATGTTATCTAAGAGCGCTACAACCCTCGCGGGGCCTTAGGCCCCGCTCGGACTTTCCGCGTAATATGAAAAAGGCAAAGCCTCAAAGCGAGCTCGATGTCCTTTTTACGTGAAATAGTATGAAATAATCGCTCATTTTTATTTCAAATGCAGTAACGAGTGCGTGTGACGTCACACGTACTGTGTTAAATATGGCTCCGCCCCTGTCGTGAAATGAATAATGAGTTTTGAAAACGTTGATAAAACTTTGTTTATTTTATTTTACTCTATAATTTTTCAAGCGAAATAAAGATTATTTAAAGTGAAATAAAAGTAAAACTTAAAACGTTTGCGACATTAAAATAGCGTACTTGATTTGTTTGTTTTGCACGTGCTGTTTGGCGCTACATTGTGACGTCACGTAAACAATACTTTAAACGTCTGTACAGCGTTAACGACTGAATAAAAGATATTGGTGTTCGGATTCATTTTCTTAGTTAGACCATTTTCTTTCATTCTAGATAGTTTTCACAACAAAATTCGACAAAAAAATGTTTTTATTTATCAGTTTTCAAACAAAATGGCGCCTTCAATTGTCATTTTTTATACACAGCTTCCGTTATTCTGGTTCCCTGTCCAATTATGGTTCCCATAGACGTGCGCGGGTGACCAGTCTACACATCCGTTTTCAGTCAGAATTCCTCAGTTTTTATCGTTATCTTTAAATTCGAAAGGTTGCGATGTGTCCAATTCGGTACTTTGGACGAAAGTTTTCAAAACCATCACTTAGCAGGTACTCGCGTTACCGTAAAGCTCGCTTTGCGAGCAGGCCCTTCGGGCCAGCTTGTCGAGCTCGCTATTAACATTGGTTCTTATTCTATCAGAAAGGGAAATCAACATTGTCAATTTGCATGAAAACTAACCGTTAGTGTAAATTAAAATGTTTTAGTTGGTTTTCAAGGTTACTTGGGATATAATTTAATATATGTTTAAGTTTTTGAGTCTGCAATCTTTACATTATTGAGACTTTAGTGTCATAGTGTTAACATAAGTAAACTAAAGACAATGATAATTTTTCTAAAGTTTATTAATGAATCTAATAATTATAAATATATGTTTATTTATTGCTGCAAAGGATATTATTTCAGATTTTGATTTTTACCGAAGTTAAATGAAGTTAATATAATTGCATATCAGTAATTGAAATATAAATTACTTTAGTGAATAGTCTGGGTAGCTAAAATAACTCAACAACATCACAGCATCAATACTAAAGAGCATAATTTATATCAGCTATATTTTGTAACCTATGTTGTACAAAACCTTGTCTTATTATACCTCTGCTGTATACTGCTTATCTAATATGTATGCTCTAACCTTAACCGGATTCAAATATGTACTATCAGAACTCTATCTTCTATTAAAGACAACATGCTATAAAAACTCTTATCATGGCTGCTTGTACATCATAAAGCACATGTTCAAATAATTTGACTCAAACTATGCATACATTGATTTTTTTTTTTCAATTTTCAAAACAACCTGTGGCTTTCTGATGGGGAAAATTTAGCACTCTATATCAGAAAAGGGGGACAACCTGAAATTAAATTCAAACAACAGAGAATGGAATTTACCCACACATTTTGTAAAATTTTCAATTTCAATTCAATTTAAGACAGCAGAGCAGCATGCCTGCTCAATTTTAAATGTAAGGGTACATGTACCTCCTGTCATTGGAAATTGGGGGTACATTTCAAAATCTTGGGGTTCACAGAAGTTTTTTCATGTTTTGTTTGTAAGAACATTTTGTCAATAAAAAGCTCATGATAATTAACAGTTGTTTTACTAAGTATTACTACTCACTAACTCAGGCACAAACTCAGTCACTTATGGTAGCAATAGAGCAGACATTACAATCAGCAGACATTACAATCACTGATCTTCTGTTCAGTCCTTACGCTTATTACCCATAACCAAAATTTTGTATATCCGAAATTATGTACATTCATTTCAAAGGGTCCATTGTTCATATTTTCATTTCATATGACATTTGTAAAGCTCACAATTAAAGTTAATTGTTAAAAAATCAAGTGACTTATTAAGAACTCGAAATACTTTTTGGCAGTTGAAACTTTTTCTTAAGAAACTTCCGTGAATTACGCAATGTAGTGTGTGAATGGGCATCCTGGCAGAGGCTATCTATATAGACAGCTTTCAGTCAAATAAATTTATCAACTAGCTGATGTAAGTCAGCTACTGTTATGTCATTTTAAGGGAAATTATAGCATTTTTTGGAAAAAATATACCTATTTTGGGATAGAGATAGCAGCCTTTGTTAGGCTGTAAAACATAAAAAGAAAACCTCTGGTATAATTCTGCTAAATCCTTTTGGTAGAATCATTAGTCAAACAATTATGCCCATGATCTCCTGTTGATGAAATCATGAATTTTCAGTGTAGGCTGTCTATTGTATACAGAAATAAGCATAGGTAAAAATTATGCCCTAATTGTCAAATGATAATAAGAAATCTGTAGGTGGATAACAGCAAAGATCTGCGGAGGATGCAATTTTTCGCCATTGGCGCTAAAAAAATGAAAATAAGTTTGTGTTACAATTTTGTTTGAACAGTTTGAACAGTTTAAATTAACTTTTCATTAACTGGACTCACAAACTTTATATTGATAGCACTACTGGGACACCATACTTTAAAAGCGAGCTACCGTGACGTCATTCATAACACATGCGCAAGATCACCGGACAATCGAATGTTGGGATTAAACATGGTGTTAAGTGTTTACATTGTTGCACTCTTGCAGTTCAATGAGTTATTTCCAAAAAATATTTGCAGACTTCCCGAAATACGTCGGTCCGACGGACATGTCCGATAAATTTTGATCAGGTCCGACAATTTTTTATTCCGGATCGGTCCGACTGTCCGGCTTTTATCCAAGCCGCATGTATACAAAATGGCGTCGCTAAAGGTGCCAAACCTTGGAAAAACCGAAAATCTACGTCAGAAAAGTGCGCAGAACAGCAATAAAAGGATGAAAAGAATAGACCTGAGACAAAATTTAATGAAAAATGGAAGCAGAACCATGAATCATTGGTGTATGACAGGGAGGAGATGAAAATGCGCTGTACGGATTGTGCCGATTTTGACGGCGAAAAAATAAAAAAACAAAAAGTGTCTTAGAAATACACACACAAGTTTTTATTTGATTTTGATCAATTTTATTTGGTCCGACAGATTTTGTTTCGGTCCGACAGATTTTCATGGTTTGTCAGACCGAATGTCTGACAGTTTTTTTCAACTTTCGGGAAGTCTGTATTTGTGTTATTATATGTGTTTAAGATTTTTGCAAATAGGAAAATAATTATGATTTTTTTGTATTTATTTGAATCGTAGTAAATTAGCTGATAAGTGCTTAGGTGCGCAAGATTACCGGACAGCATCGTATTTAGCATAGCAAAATATTAACATTTAGCTATACAGCTGATTCACACTTACCTTAAGGTTTTCAGTGTACCCGTTTATATACTATGACATGACGTGAACGCTGAAGATAACCCAGTAGGGAAATTCCACCAATAATCGTGCCAGGAATCTGACACGCTCGTATTCATTCATCGAACATGCCATGAAGTAAAGTGAAACATACCTTGATAAAACTATATATAATCTGTTGATAAGCCAAGAATGGACAAATTAAAATCTTATTACGAACATAAACTACCTAATAGTTCCGACAGGTAAAAATTTTGGCACTTGGCCGCCATATTACCAAAATGTTTGACCACGTGATTACGAGATTGACCTCTACGAACCCATGTGCTTCCAATATTTTTATAAATTACTTTTTCTTAAGATATTGAAAAAGGTGATTTACTGACTTTTGTATTCAATAAAATCATATTTATTTAAGTACTAAAAAAATAATGAAAATAAATAAAAACATTATCTTGAATAAAAATATCGAAATCATGTCAACAAAGATGTTCTAAATATAGTACATGACTCCATTCTAATCGGTTCCCGTGAATGACGTCATACGAGGTCTTGCATGGCACTTAAATATCATGGCCGACTGTAGTCGGCGTAATTGATGTTTTACAGTTAAATAGGCAATTTTAATGACGGTATTAATATTTTGATACTTTAATTGGTCTAGAAAGATATTAAAATAATTGTTTTATCGTAAAATGCACAAGAATTGATTGGGTCAAGTGTATTTGCAAGTGAAAAATAAGGTTTAATCAACTATGTTATTCTGGTTAGGTTTCGTAAAGGGTCTAATCCAAAACTTTAATGCCGCATCAGATGTAAAATAAAAATGTTAAATAGCAGCTTATAGCGAGCTGGACAAGCTGGCCCGAAGGGCCTGCTTGCAAAGCGAGCTTTACGGCAACGCGAGTTAGGGATTAAACGATCATCGAGTACAATCGAAAATTGATCATTTATAGGACCGATTGGTGATGATCGAATACAAAGTTAAATAATCGATTATCGGTAATTTATTTTCTTGCTGTTACTTAAGTGACTCACTGTATTATAACAACACTCTAAATTAAAGCCAGCTTTGGTTGAAACAATATTTTTCATTCAAATGAATATGAAAGCGTACTGGTGACCATGGAGTTAATTGTTGACAGTGAGGCATTCTATTAAGTTTTAAGATATAGATCTCTACTGTGCTCAAATTTGACATTAGAAAATATTTAGAATTGCTACACATTCTATTTGTAAAATTAATATAAAATAGACATGTTTTGACTTCACACAAAGAAGATATGTTATGTATAAAATTATTCTACACACTAAAGGTGCGGGATACAACATCAATATATATACATGTATTGTCATTTAAAACAAACGAGTTTTGTTAAGAAAGGACCAACTTAACTTGTTCCCAAACATAGTTTATTTATTCCTTTATTGAGACATAATAATTTAATAGATTTTAATGAATTTATTTCATTAAAATATTTTACTCAAGGATGAGCATAGTATAATTACAGTATATCTGTAAACTAGTTTATTTCAGTTGATAAAGTGGTCGTTTGTACATATTTCCTTTGTTATTGTAAATGTTTCGATTATATAATCGATGAATGATCAAAAGGGTTGTTCGATTATTTTCGATGATCGATTATGATTTTTGTCCGATTAAGAAACCCTATTCGCGTACCTGCTAAGTGGTGGTTTTGAAAACTTTCATCCGAAGTACCGAATTGGACACATCGCAACTTTTCGAATTACAAGATAACGATTATCAAGCGGCTTAGGGCAACATGATACCCTCTCTAATGATTTTTGCGAATGAACTGGATGTGTCCTTAAGGGTGTTTGCATTATTTATCAAAAGGTCTGGAGGTAAAGAGTTCCATTCTTTCACAGTATTTGGTAAAAAACTATACTTTAACACATCAGTACGCGACTGGATAATAATAATTTGGCTAGTAATAGACAAATATCTTCATCATTGTCATTATGTAACAAAAATATTGCCGAAATGTTTGTCATAACCTGTTATACCTTAATTTAGCAAGAAATCTCAAAAATCTTTATCTTCATCCATAGACGATTGAAAATGCCAAATAAGCGCCTACAAGACGCAGAGTAAACGTTTAAGTAAAGACAATATCTCAGAGAATGCGGATAAACCTGGGCCTTAATTATAATAATAACACTATTGTACGAGATGTAAATAGCTTAATAGACGTAAAATAGCTATTTAAAACTATATTTTGATTAGCTTACACAATTATCATACGCATTTTAATATTTTTCAGGAGGGGGCAGGGGAGGGGACAGGGGGAGTGGAAGGGGGCCTGCAGGACAGGGCGGACCGTGAGACAGGGCGGACCGTACCAGGGCGGACCGTGACTCGAGACTAGGCGGACCATATTTTGGGACAGGGCGGACCGTCACTCGAGACTAGGCGGACCTTGATTTAAAAAAAGTATTTATATGTGTACTAATGTAATAATATGACTCGCCATTAAAACTGGATCGGGTTCCTCCTGGGAAAAAAAAATCTGCATGTTAAATGTTGA